CCCAGATGGGGTCATAGGACCATGGGGGCGGAGGGAGGGGGGGTAGGTGTGGAACTTCAAAACTGGGTCCTAAGTCCCATTTTCCAACTGTAAATAAGTCACTATTCATAAGTCAAGAACGATCTGAATTTGTCTAAATATATGTATGCTCTCTCTAACCTTTTAAGAGAAGAAAAGTGGAAGAGAGAAGGAAAGCGATGTGCTGGGAAATCCGGCCATGCAAACTGTTTAAAAATCATTTTTTTCCCCCTGCTTCTTTCCTAAAATCTTCTTTGCAAGCTTATTTTCCCTACTCAAAAGAAGGCTGCGGCCCCTGGCTGTATCGATTATAGTGGTTTTTGCTCAAATAGCCCAAATTCTCCCCGCAGATTGCAAAACCCACTTCAAACCAGTAAAAGCCATAAAACCCATAAATATCTGGATCGGGAGCCCCGAAGGGGGTGATCACAACATAGACAAACCAATGCAGGTGCTTAAAAAGAGCCACGCGCGGTAGAAGAAGAATGGCCTGAAGGAAGAATTATACCTTTGCCCAAAGCTGGGAAGATAAAGCAGGTCTCAGAATTGCATAAATTGCATAAATCACTTGAGTTTTTTTTTAAAAAAAAGGAAAAGGAAAAGGAAGAAAACAAACATAGGTGAATTTTAAATGGGTTTTTCTTGATGCATTTCCCCCCCCCCCCCCACTCCTTTCCTCCCGCTTTGCCCATCGGCTGAATGCTAAAAAATCCCAGCCTTGAGGTTGGCTGAGCAAACTCCCCGTGATGTCAAAAGAGCAAGAGTCAAAAACAAGAACAACAAAAGGGGGTTTGTGTCCTTTTGAGGTGGGGAAAATAAATAAAAAAAAGACTGGTGCGCTTGGAAGGGGTGCGTCACCATCCAGTGTGGGGAAAGGAAAGCCGCGGTGCCCCGAATGCTACACACCTTGTGGGTTTCCTCTCCGGCAAGACTTCCAAAGATTTTTTCCCCCACTCTCCTCTCCAGAAATGTCTGCCAACGTCACAGTGTGGGCCAAGGTTGTGCAAGGGAAGCTGGGCACAAAGGCACACTCTGTGACCTGACGCACTTCGGCGTGCCAGAGCAATGCGTGTGATCGGCTCCGATCCAACCCTCTGGGTCAGGCCAAACCTTTCTGCCGAGTGAGCCTGAGAGGAGCTTTGGCTTCTGTTTGGGGTCCCGAAAGTGGATCCCTTTCAGAAAATTAACTGGATTTGAGGAAGGGCCGGATGGAATCGGGTCTCTAGACTATGGATCTTTCTATGTGCCATTCAGGCGCCAGCTTAGGGGCGAAAGCCGCCGGTGCTCTGTACGTCCAGCGGAGGTGATAGATGGATAAGGCAAGGCGGCAAAGCAGGACATTAAGTCAGTCCCTGTCTCTGGAATAGAAAGCATTTCCTTACATCTTCTTTTTGAATTTCCCACTGCACTGTAGAAGGGGAGTGATGTGAATCTACAGAAGCTCAAAATTAGGATATAGAGTGTTGGAAGGGACCTTGGAGGTCTTCTAGTCCAACCTGCTTCTCAAGCAGGGAGTGTAGAAGCACCTTTCCCCAACCTGCTTTATTCAGAGGCAGATGCTTTCATGAGCCGCAACTGACAAATATGGATTCTTTTGACTCAAATGTATGACTTGCAAAATGTGCTGCTTCTTTCCTCCTCCTTTCCTTCCTTCCTTCCTCTTTTCTTTCTCTCTCCCTTCCTTCTTTCTTTCTTTCTTTTCCTTCCTTCCCTCCATCCCCCTCTCTATCTCCCTCCCTCCTTCTTTCTTCTTTCTTTCTTTCTTTCTTTCTTTCTTTCTTTCTTTCTTTCTTTCTTTCTTCTTTCTTTCTTTCTCTTTCTTTCTTTTCTTTCTTTCTTTCTTTCTTTCTTTCTTTCTTTCTTTCTTTCTTTCTTTCTTTCTTTCTTCTTTCTTTCTTTCTTTCTTTCTTTCTTTCTTTCTTTCTTTCTTTCTTTCTTTCTTTCTTTCTTTCTTTCTTCTTTCTTTTTCTTTCTTTTCTTTCCCATCCCCCCAACACCCCCTTCCTCACCTTCTTCACTTTTAAAACCCCAATGTTTGTCTTTAATTCCTGAAATCCAAAAAAACAGCTGAAAAGAAGGCTAGATAACCGGGCTGTTTCCCTGTTAGCTACACTCCCCCATCAAGGGAGCTTGTTCAACTTTTGGACAGCATGTCTCTCTCTGGAGGTGTGGGCTGAGCCCCCCCCCCCCCCCCAATCCATGGTTGCACAAAAGCTTTAGGGGAAAAACTGGATTTTTGAAAAAGTGGCTTCGGGTTTCTGCCGTCTTGGAATTGGACTTTGCTGCGATTTGGTCTAGCCCATCCCCCCCAAATAAAATAAAATAAAAGAGAACCAACTCTTGGCCTAGATTGCTCTCTGGTGGCAGATTTGGGAATTTAGCACACTGTGCATGTTCAACGTTGACAGCATCTACTGATTGGAAAGTTCAGAAGCAGGGGAAGATAGGGGAGAAAAAAATAAGCTGGAAATAAGGTCCTAAATTGCATTAACAGAGGGGTAGAATCAAGATGAAGGCAGCTACCACCACCACCCTATAAAGCCTTAGTAAGGCCACACCTAGAGTACTACACCCAGTTTTGGTCACCACACTATAAAAAAAACCTTGAGGTTCTAGAAAGAGTGCAGAGAATAGCAACCAGCATGATTAGGGGACTGGAGGCTCAAACATATGAAGAACGGTTGCAGGAACTGGGCCTGGCTAGTCTAGTGAAGACAAGGACCAGGGGAGACAGGATTCCAATATTTGAGGGGCTGCCCCAGAGAGGAGATGGGGGTCAAGCTATTTTCCAAAGCACCTGAAGGCCAGACAAAGAATAATGGATGGAAACTGAACAAGGAGAGATTCAACCTGGAAATAAGGAGAATTTTTTCTGACAGTGAGAACAGTCAACCAATGGAACAGAAGTTGCCTTCAGAAGTTGTGGGAGCTTCATCCCTGGAGGCTTTCAAGAAGAGACCGGACTGTCATCTGTCAAAATCGATGTAGGCTTTCCTGCTCGGGTAGGGGGTTGGGCTAGATGACCTCCAAGGTCCCTTCCAACTCTGTTAATCTGTAAAAGGAAATTGCAAGCCACCCCAATGAGGTGCATGCCAGTCAAATCCCCAGGAGAGATCCTTGACTTAGAGAAAAGTGAAGAATTGAATCAGACATGGCTGATCCGGCTACATTGCAACACACCACCCACAGGTATGGCACATGACAAAACACGACAGGATTGTTCGCAAGCAGGAATTGTTGGTTGTATTTGCACAATAAAAGTACGCAGAGCTGCGGAGCTGGAGACAGTCAGACTAAATAAATAGACCGAATGTTCTGCGTGCCTGGGGAGATTCCTCGTTCCTGGAATCTCCGTGCGTTAATGTCACCTCCTGGTCTGTCAGGTGAGGTGTCAAATGGAGTCATCTGAACATTTCAGGAAAACCCCAAACCAAGTTCACGACGACCAGTTTGAGTCTGTGAAGAAATGGCTCTGCCTGAAGTTTTCTGAAAGGATTCTGAAGTGTTTCTCACACACAATAACACCCCAACACTGACGAGAGCTAGTTGGAGAACGGCAAATGTTGGGACAAGCTTCTTCCCAGAGCAAGTGAGAACTTGCTAACTGCAGATTAAAAGGTGGATGGAGTAACCTGTCTTGGGACTGTCCCCTTTGAGGTTTGAAGCTGATGTAACTTAGCGCAGGGAAAGGAGAACTAGCAGACCAAGGTTAGAATCTTCTAGAGAAGATGTGAAGGTTCCCCATGAAGATATGAACAGATTTGTGTTGCCCCAATGTCAATCTCTACCTGAAGGATGGAGAGTAGAATCCATCCAGGTAGAAGTTAGGGAGGTGCAAAGTATCTCATTTCAGAGATAGGAGAGAATAGTTGTAGTTTGGAGACGAAGTGTGAGGTCTTTGGTGTTCTCTGAGCTTGATGGTTTCTTGCAGTTGTTTTGTGACCCAACTAGGAAACATCATCAGTGCTAAAAGTTTTCCCCACTCCCTTCTAACACTGATGATGTCCCCTAGTTTGGTCATGAAACGTCTCCAAGAAAACCACCAAGCTCAAAGGATCCCACAGAGATGCAATATTCTGTAGAACTTCAGAATGCTTTCTTGTCTCCCAGTCCAGCCTCTTTGGCCAGCTCTGAGGTTGCTTCCCATACTGTCCACAAATAAATCCTTAGGAACAACACCCTGTTTACTCTCGGAAAACATTCAGATATCCCCTGGAATGACCAGGTCAGCACAGTCTCCAGGAACGGAAGGGATAGGTGTGAAGACCTCCAGAACGAGAAACATAGACCTTACTTGTGTAATTCTTCTGTTACCGTTTGTGAGACATTAGGGTCCACTTGGACTCATCCATGGCCTTTTTGCCCCACAGAACAGTTGAAGTTTTGCTGGGACATGATAAAAAAAGTCAGGATGGAAGCTACAACAGGGAATTGAAGACTTGTCTATAGAATGTGCAACATTACACATGGATTTGACTTCCCAGTTGCAGATCCATCTTGATTTTTTGACCCCAATGCTCCCTGGATTTTAGAAAGCTCTGAAATCAAGAGATCCTTCAGGTGAATCCGTGCAGCAAACTCACACATGCCTGTGGGATTGTGGCTGGGCACATGAGGTCTGGAGGCCACCGACCTCCTTATGCTCTGGCACATTTCTTGCATATCTTGCACATTTCTTGCACATGCAACAAGGGTCATTGGAGTTCCAGAAGCTCAGTGTCCATCCATTGGAGGCCAAAGATGAGGATGGCCATCATCTTGAATGAAGAAGTCCCCACAGAAACTTAAACAGGGATGGGAAGCCATCCTGAGTTGATCTACTCAATGAGAGGCCTTCAACAAAGTTGGAACACTTGGCCAACACCACTCCTGTAGAGACTCAAGGACTTCCTTTAACTGTCAAAACCGGCTGCCATTTGAGGCTACAACTCTTCCTTCTGACATGCCAGCCCAGACCCAAGGAAGGCAACAGGTACCTTCTTCTTCTTCTTCTTCTTCTGGCCAGAAACTCAAGAAAATAGCCTCAGGCAACCAGACCCACTCTTGGCTGGCCTTGCTGAGAACTCTCCAAGCTTCAGCAAGTTCGCTTGCTTTCCAAGAGGGCCTTCCAATCATCAGCCCACGAGTGCAACCGGTGGCAAGAAGCTGGGAGCTGCAGATGCTTGTTGTGGCAGGCGGTGAAAAGCACGTGCTCCCAGGTGGGAGTCCGTTCCACTCCTGGGAGAGAAAGGAAAGATGGCGCGTGAAGATGTGAGTTGCGTTACTCCAACATGGTGCAAATCGGTCCACCTTTTGGCCCCTCCAAGGGTTGCCTTCCCCAGCACCAGCCCTCCCCACCTTACCTACGATATCAGGCCTGTCATCAATCAGTACATGCCCAGAGACGATGGTCTTATCCCGGGTGAGAATCACGTGCTCCAAAAATTCGTGTCCGAAATGCTTCTCTATCCAAGCGAACTGGAAAGCAGCAGAGGACACGAAGGTGAAAACACGTGGCTGGAGAAAACTTTTTTCTGTAGGATGGGGACAGCGATAAAACGAAAGCTTCCCAGACTCGTTTTTAGGGCGAGACAAACAGCGTATCAATTTAATATGCAAATAAATTAAAATAAAGAAAACATGGGGCAAAGGGTTCCCGCCAACAAGCCAGCTCTGAGAAGGAAGGGAGCTGGAAGGTGAGGTTAAATCAGACCAAGTCCTTTAACGCCGGCACTGTTTAGCTTGCCTTCATATAAAATCCTGGCTCTCCTGATTTAACCAGTGAGTAACTCAAGATTTTTTGAGCAGGCTTTACCTTTTCATACGGGCAGTAGCGATACTTCTTGATGGGACTCGTGCATATGAAGACTTCAGTCCTAACATAAAGAGAGAGAGCGAGAACCACTCATATTTCTCCGTTATTTTTCCACAACTGGATTCTGACTCTCTCCAACAGAACATGGAAACATGCATGGAAACAAAAAGGAACTGATTTGTGACGGATGGATTTGGTTGACAAAGAATTTTCCACTTCCTAGGTCTTCTACAAACTGGAATGCTTGGGCCATTTCTCCCTCAAGTTCTGGAACTTCTCCAGAAAGGGGTGGGATGTCTCACCCGCTACCTACCCTGCGGTTTTCCTTCTACAGGATCTACTCTCCCAGCCCATTCACCAGAAAAACCAATGAGGTTCAGTTTTGAAAACAGGATTTATTTATTTTTAAACTGGAGGTTTTCAAAAATATAACTGGACAACCATTTGACCAGGATGGTCTGAAGTCTCCTGCCTTGAGTAATGGGGTTGAAGGCCTCCGAGATCCCTTCTAGGATTCTACGTTCTATGATTAATCTAGAGAAGCACAGGGTAGGAAACATCTGGAGAATTTGTTGCTGTTCCCATTTTATGGCCTGATACTTACGCTTCTAATTCTGCCATCTCCTTCAGAGCTTCCACAGCCCCTGGCAGAGGGTTGAGCTCCATGAAAAAGTTCTTGGATTCCCAAATACTGATAGCCTTTTCCTGTAAAGTGAGGGGAGGGGGAGAGAGAGAGAGAGAGAAAAAAAAAACACAGATGCAAACAACAGCACATAACAGATAACAGATAATCAGAGTTGGAAGGGACCTTGTAGGTCATCTAGTCCAACCCCTCACCCAAGCAGAAGACCCAATTTCTGACAGATGGCAGTCTTCGTGAAAGCTTCCAGGGATGAAGCTCCCACAACTTCCGAAGGCAATTTCTGTTCCATGGGTTGATTATTCTCACTGTCAGAAAATTCCTCCTTATTTCCAAGTTGAATCTCTCCTTGTTCAGTTTCCATCCATTATTCCTTGTCTGGCCTTCGGGTGCTTTGGAGAATAGCTTGACCCCTTCCTCCTCTCTGTGGCAGCCACTCAAATATTGGAAGATGCTCTCCTGTCTCCCCTGGTCCTTCTCTTCCCTAGACTGGACTAGCCAGGCCCAGTTCCTGCAACCGTTCATTGTATATTTTAGCCTCCAGGCCTTTGATCATCTTAGATAGAATCAGATTAACAGAGTTGGAAACAACCTTATAGGTCATCTAGTCCAACCCCCCGCCCGAGCAGGAGAGCCTACGTCATTTTTGACAGATGGGAGTCCAATCTCTTCTTGAAAGTCTCAAGTAATGGCGCTCCCACGACTTCCGAGGACTACTTCTGTTCCATGGGTTGATGGTTCTCACTGTCAGAAAGTTTCTCCTTATTTCCAGGTTGAATCTCTCCTTGGTCAGTTTCCATCCATTATTCCTTGTCTGGCCTTCGGGTGCCTCAGAGAATAGCTTGACCCCTTCCTCCTCTTCCCTGTGGCAGCCCCTCAAATATTGGAAGACTGCCATCATGTCTCCCCTGGTCCTTCTCTTCCCTAGACTAGCCAAGCCCAGTTCCTGTAACCGTTCGTTGTATGTTTGAGCCTCCAGTCCCCTAATGAAGGCAACCAAAGACCAGCGACGTGTCTCCAAACATGTGGAATCCAGGAGATGATCCAGAAATGATACAGGTAGTCCTCAACTTACAACCGTTCATTTAGTGACCATTCCAAGGTACAACTTCACTGAACAAAGTCACTTAGGACCATTTTCCCCACTTACGACCCCTGCTACCTCCCCAGGGTCATGGGATCAAAATCCAGACTCTTGGCAACTGTCCCACATCTATGACAGTTGCCGTGTGATTCCCCCTTTTTGTGACCTCCTGACAAGCCAGGCCAACAGATAAAGCAGATTCGCTTAACAACCATGTTATTAACTTCATCAGTGCAGTGATTCGCTTAATGAGAGCGGTGTGGTGGCCTCGAGGTGGAGCTCTCACCTCACAATCAGGAGGCTGTGAGTTCGATCCTAGGCAGAGGCAGATATTTCTCTCTCTGGGCACACTGAGAATATATCTGCCGAACAAAACTCCGCACTGGCAACAGGAAGGGCATCCGGCCAGTAAATACTCAGCTTCTAATACTTAGAATTGGAGATCAGGACGAGAAACAAAGGATGGGAGAGAAGCAACCTCAAATTAAGGAGAAGCTTCCTAACAGTGGGGACAGTTAACCAGTTAACCAGCCGTTCTGGCTCGCCATCGGAAGTTGTGGGTGCTCCAACACTGGAGGCTTTTAAGAAGAGACAGGACAGCTGTTTGTCTGAAATGTACAGGTTCTCCTGCTTGAGCAAGGGGCTGGACTGGAAGACCTCCAAGGTCCCTTCCAGCTCTATCCTATTCTAAAGAATAAGGAAGGCCTCTACACCCCGGAGTAAAGCTAAACAGTGCAGTGGACGGTCCCTGAAGCGGGTACAGAGCTCCTGAGCCTGAAATGGATTGGGGAGCCTTTGCCTGGGGGCCCAGCCGCCAGCCCCCCACCCAAAAAACCTTAATTCCCCCCCTCTCGCTCCCCAGCAGCAAACCGAGACTGCCAGGGAGGTTTTGGGCATGCAGAAAAGGTGCTGAAATCCTTGGAGCGCCCGACAGCCGGAGAGCAAAGGAGCAGCGGCCGATCAACCCACCCTTGTTTACTCTGCTTCCCCGGTCGCCCTTCGGACGTCTCCCCCGAGGGTCATCGGTATGTGTGTGTGTTGTGTGTGTGTGTGTGTGTGTGAGGTCGGGACTCACGCTCAGTCCAGGCTGGAGCTTCCCGTATTGCTCCGAGACCCAGAAGCCGCGCCGCTCGTCCAGCGCGATGTAGGGCAGGTCCGGGTACCGGGCGCGGTACTTCTCCAAGAACCCCCCCTCGAAGTCGGCCAGCACCCCGTCCATGTCCACCAGCACCCGCAGCGGCCGGGAAGGAGGAGCAGCAGCCGAGCGCCCCGAATGCGCCCGGCCGATGCCCGCGCCCAGCAGAGGCGCCCAGGCGCGCAGGACCCGCTGCGGGTGCCGGAGGAGGCTGCGGGTGCCCCGGCACATCATGGCCGGGTAGGGGCGTCTCTGGGCGGGGAGATGGAGGAGGGGAGGTCGTGACCCCCTTCAGGGCAGGACCCGGCCCCTCCGGCCACCTTCGCCCCCGCTCCCGCCTTTGCCGCAAGATCCGAAGGTCACGGAGGGAGGGAGGGAGGGAGGAAAGCGCCCGGCGGCCACTGCGGAACTCGGGGCGCGTGGATGGGCTGGAGGCTGGAGGGGAAAGAATGGAAGGAAGGAAAGAAGGAAGGAAGGAAAGAAGGAAAGAAAGAACAAGGGAGGGAGGAAGGAAAGAAGGAAGGAAAGAGAGGAAGGGAGAAAGGAGGGATTAGAAAGAAGGAAGGAAGGGCAGGAGAGAGAAAGAGGGAGGGTCCAAAGAAAGGAAAAGAAAGGGAAGGGAAGGGAAAGAGAGAAAAGCAAACAAGCAAGGGAGGTTGCTTGCCAGCGCCAAAGCGTCCCAGCGAGCCGCGGGAGCTGCTCCGGTTCAGCCCAGCTCCTCCAGCCCATTCCTTCCAGCTACCGGCCCGGAGGGGTTCCGCTTCTCCTTGCCGTCGCTCTGCAAAAGGGCGGCGGGGGTGGCTGGGTAGCGTGCCGGGGGCTCCTCTTTCCGGGCCAAACCGGACCTCGCTCCGGCCTCCCCGCTCCTTTCCCCGGGTGCAGAGCTGACGATGCGGAACCGTTGCGGGGCTCAGGGAAGCGGCAGGGGAGAGGAAGGCGAACCAGGACAGGGGTGGGGTGGAAGGGGCAGGGTCCTGCGTGGGTTTCCCAGGAAATAAAGCCAGAAAGGGGGGGAGGGCTGCTACTCTCTTCCTAAGGGAGACTTTAAGCATCCTCTAAATTTCACTTAAGCTTCTTAAAATGACCACCTGGTGGTCTCCCCATTGCGGTCACTAAAGGAGGACAATTTATAGAACCAATTGGGCAGGCTTCTTTTGAGCCAAACATCTCAGGGTTTCCCCAAAGGTGCTTTTTCAAGAGGCAACTGGACTTTCTGGTCCAGCAAACCTCCCTCTGAATTCTAACCCTGAAAGGCTACTGCCCTGAAGACCCCAGAAGTGATTCTGACAGGAGCCGAATTCAGATTGTGCTCTCTAGTCAAGGAGGGTGCCAGGCCAATGGAAGTCCAGGAATTTGAGCGTCTGGGCACTAATTAGGACATTGGGCGGTCTTTCCTGACTACTAAACGGTTTTCTGACTACTAAACCCTGTCGGCTGTCAGATTACTAAACACAACATAACACCACAATCCGGCTTAATGTGATAGACTTACAGTGCCAGTGTATATACCAGTGTAAATGTATGTATGTATGTATGTATGTATGTATGTATGTATGTATGTATGTATGTATATGTATATGTATATTAGGCTCATGTACACATGTTGTGCATTGACAATAAAGGTTTGAACTTTGACTTCTGTTCGATGGTCTTCCTGGAAGATGGATCCCTTCCATTCTTCCGGCTGAGGTCCCCCACCTAGGCAGGTTCCAGGTCCCTGGCAAGTCTCAGACACCTGCTGGGGTGCCTGAATCCTGCTGGGGTGAAGGAGCGTTTCTTCCATGGCAGGAATCAAAGAAGGTTGAGGCTTCTTCCTCTATTTTTAAATGGCATAAGCTTGGACGGAGAAGACCCACCTGATAAACCGGAGGCCTTGTCACATTAAAGGCTGCTGCTGCGTTATAAAGGACAGGCAATAAAGCAAAGCCAGAATAACAGAATACCAGAGTTGGAAGGGTCCTTGGAGGTCTTCTAGCCCAACCTCCTGCTCAGCCAGGAAACCCTACCTATACCATTCCAGACCACTGGTTGTCCAGTGTCACAAATGCCTAGAGAACAAATTTCTTTTTTTTTTTTTGTCCCTGGATTAGTGAAAGAGCCAAAAGCCCATTTTCAATGGAGCAAGATTAAGAATCTAATATACATTTTGGATTATTTATCTTGCTTTTACGTTGCACTTGCAGAGTATAATGTGTTTTGCACTATCTTTAATAAATATATATATATAGTATATAGTGCAATAATGATATGCACATCATGTTTAATTATATGTAGATAATAGTTACCATTTTCACAATTTGCAGTCTGCATGAAGCCCCCCTCCCCCTTTTCAGCAAAAAGGGCGGGGCCACGGGACTGTTGTGGAGCCACTGCGCGTGCGTGAGCTCCTCCCAGAGCAGGAAGCAGCCCTCTCGGTTCGCCCACTTCCGGGTGGGAGGCGATCCCCATGGCAACGCCCCCAGCCGGGCTCCCGCGCCGCGCGCCGGAAGTGACGCTCCAAAAGCGCGGCCCCCGATTGGCCCTGCGCGGCGCCGAGGTCGCTCCCGCTGCGTCTGGAAGAGCAGGAGGCAGAGGCGGCTCCTCCGCGGCTGACCCGGCCGGGCCTTTCCCTCTCCCGCGCCGCCATGGCGTCCGCCCTGGAGCAGTTCGTCAACAGCGTCCGGCAGCTCTCGGCCCAAGGTGAGACGCAAGGCCGGGCGCGCACGTGGAGGCCGCTGCCGCCCTCCGGCCCCGGGCGGCCTCCGAGAAAGGGGAGCCGGGAAGGGAGCCCGCCTCCCGGAGGTGTCCGTTGGCTGCCGCGTCTGTCTGTCTGTCTGCAGGCGGGGCGGGGCTTCGGGGCCCCGCCTCTTGGCTTGGAAACCCCTCGCGGGCAAGGGAGGGAGCAGAGCGGCCCTTCCCCAACCTGGCGCTCCCGGGCTGGCTGGGAATTTTGGTGGGGGAAGGGGCTGGATGGATGGAGGGGGGGGGGCTCGCTCTGCCTGTTCACAGCTTGGCTTTTCCTTTCCCAGGCCTCTGGGATCGCCTGGTGGTCTCCTGTCCAAAGCCCAATTCCCCTGGCTGAGCTTTTCGAAGGTCATTGGGTGGCCACTTGCATTCTGTGGGGCAGCCCCCCTCCCCACCTACCTTTCCCCTTCTAAACCCTTCCCTCCCCAAGGATCGCTCTTTGCTTTTTGCTCCTTCTGGATTCTGCCTCTCTAACCAGCTCCACTTTTTGTTTGAATTTTTTTTATTTTCAAAAAGAGCCGAACTGTGGCTGGCATGGAAGAACATCTTAAAAGCATGAAAGTCTTCCATGGAAGTCTTCTTTGCAGCCACAGCTTTAGTCGATAAAAGAAAAATAAACCCTTAAAGAAAAAGAAGAAGAAAAAATTCAATAACTATTGAATCCTACTGTATAGTGCAATATTAATGCAATATCAGGGTTTTAAATGTGTGGAGTGTGAGGGATGTGTGTTTGTGTTTATTTTCATAGTCATAAATTGTACACTGGAGATGGTATTTAATTTCGATGTACGAGGTTCAATGACAATAAAGTAAATAGACCCTTAAAGAAAAAGAAATAAATCCATGTTCTTTAGAACAATGAGGTAGCTTTATGACCCCTGGTTTTCTACTTTTGAGAGGTGTTTCAGCCTCCCTGGGGAGGCGCAGTTTATAAGCTGCTGGTTTTGGCTCTCTTGCATTAAAGTCTTTGTCTATAAAAGCCATATTTCTCAGCTTGGAAGTTGGTTTTAAGGTCCTAACTTTGCTCTGGAAAATCTCAGAAGAATCTACTCCCTTCCATTGCTTCAGTCCGGTGGCAAATTTTTGTCTCGTTTTGAACTTCATTCTATCCTTCTAAAAATCCCTGACTTGGGGGCTTTCTAATTTCATGTTATTTGTAGAAACACAAAGAATTGTTTTAATTATTTTCCAAATAGTTTATCTTCAGTTTTATGACTGTTACATATATGCAGAGATTTATGAAAATTGTATATTTACATAGGTGTGGGTGTGTTGTTTTGGGGTATTTAAATTTTAGGAGATTTATATGCAAGACTCTATCCTAGGTTGAACTGTTTTCATTCAGGGATTGAAGTGGTCGGATTTCAGCTGGGGTGCTGTCCATGGTATTAATCTGGCCTCTAATCTATTCCTAGCCTAGCATTATTGTGATGTGAAAATTAACTGTTGGTAAGGGAGGCTAGAAAACAATTTCATGAATTAAAGCTTTCCTTTTCGGTCCATAAAAACCTTCTGAAATAGTGTAGAATAAAAATATTAATAGAGCGCCTTTTCTACAATTTGTTGTTTTGTACTAAAGGGCTGATTATGTGACACCTTCCCCTAGTTTCTTGAGCGCTTATCAATTGAGACATGCTCTCCCTGCTGTATATTTTTTAATTATAGTATTGGCTTGATTTTTTACTGCTTTGCTTTTATGACATAGACGGCTGTTCTTGTGATATTTGCTGTTTGTAGAGCAGGTGGGCAGAGAGTGATAGATCCTCTTTCTCCCCCTCACTTTCCAACCTTTTCGCCTTTCTCAGGGCAAATGACTCAGCTTTGCGAGCTGATCAACAAAAGTGGAGAACTGCTAGCGAAAAACCTCTCCCATTTGGATACCGTGCTCGGGGCACTCGATGTCCAGGAACACTCACTGGGCGTGTTGGCTGTTTTGTAAGTGACCTTCGTTTATTGGAAGCTTCTCCTTCAGACTTGAATAGAGAGACAAACTCGATTTCCATGATGCTTCTTTTCTGTGAACCTTCTGCTTCACATAACTCCATTTTTTTAAATTGAAAAGTAAACTTTGCAGATCCTTCCTCCACTAATCACCACAACTGGGATCAGAAGTCCATTTGTAAGTCAGTGTGGTCATATGTCAAGGCAGCCATGTGTCTGGATCCGAGATTGACATTTTCACGGTTGTTCAGCAAATCTCACAGTCACTATGCAAATGGCACATTCTTGCAGTTGGGTGGCTTTTGTTTTTGTTCTGCTGGAAACTAGCAAAAATACACTCAAAACTGGCAAAGAAACATTGCAGTCACAATTTAAAACTGGTCATAAACTGGTTGCCAAACAGCAGGAATGTGGCTCTGTGAGCATAGTGAGGAGGTTGTGCATTTTATGATAGCTGGAAGGGCCCATAAGCTCCTGTTCTGCACTCGTAACTCAAAGACTACCTGTATTTCTTTCTCCCACATTTATTAACTAGATGTAGATGTTCATTCAACTCATAAGAGTGGCTGCATACCCACAACCCGGCCATCTGACCCACTTAACGTGCCCTTCGCGGGGGTTTAAGGAGCTCTTGCTGGGGTCCCAGAAAGAGATGGCTTGCATTGTGTGCTTTGTCTTCCTTTGTAGGTTTGTGAAGTTTTCTATGCCCAGCGTCCCTGATTTCGAAACGTTATTCTCGCAGGTCCAGCTTTTCATCAGCACTTGCAACGGGGAGCACATCCGATATGCCACCGACACTTGTAAGTGGCTTCTGCCATCCTGTGAATTTTTGCCTAAAATCTGCATTGGTTTGCTAAGAGTTACAAATGAACATTGTGTTAAAAAAAATATAGAGGCTGCCGACATCATTTAATCAATCCGAATAAGATTATATCTATAGTAGCTTTATCTTTAGTGTCTGTGAGTATGCATGGATACTAAGTAACACTAACATAATTAGGAACAAATTACAGGAAGAATGGTAGGAAAAAATAACAATGCCAATAAAAAGAAAGCACTTTAATGAAAATTACTACAAGTCTATTTTTAATAAAGGAGTTGAAGCTGGGCTACATAGGATCATACTGTGCGACCTGTCCTTTCAATCAATAAAAGATCACCTTAAAGGCTGAGAGATGGGGTTTTGATAGGCCAAAAAAAAAATCACCTTTTTTTGCTACGTTCCAAACATGGTATATCTACAGCTCTACTTATTGTCTATTTTCATAGACAGGCAAGCTCCAAATGTAATTTAACAAACCTTAACAGCTTGAAGCCTTAGCCTCCTCCTAGGAGTATCACTGACTTTAATGTCTAACTGAAAAGGATCTACCTGTGGACAAATGAAAGTCATTGATGTGTGATTTTCCATGTTCTCAAATCCCTAGTTAGCACAGTCTCAATTCCTTCTTTTTTCCTTCTCTCTAGTCGCTGGCCTGTGCCATCAGTTAACAAATGCCCTTGTGGAACGGAAGCAGGTAAGGAAGTTGAGCAGTGCAGTCCTTTAATTCTCAGGCCGCTGATCTTGAGGAACGCTAGATTTTTAACATGGTGTGCTAATGCTGAACAATACTCACTGGAGTAGAACAGTGACGTGTAAATAAAGTATAGAAATCACAGTAAATAAACTAACTTGCCAAGTTGGTGAGATATTTTTACATCTTTGAGGCAGGGGGTATAGCTTCCTGACATCAGGACAGGTGAAGCTGCTCCAAATATGTACAAATCTCTTTTTTGCATGCATGTAGAAATTGACTCTTTTGCTTGCTTGCCAACAGCCCCTGCGCGGAATCAGCATTCTCAGGCAAGCTATAGACAAAATGCAGATGAATACCAACCAACTGACCTCAATACATGCTGATCTCTGCCAGGTGAGGATCCTAGAGTCAGGTGGGAAATGAAGTCCTCTTACTAGCAGAATAGGCCGTCCTAATAACACGATGCAGAATTGAACTAAGACTAAATGGGACATATGCTGCCCGTCGTGGCAATTCCCTGTCCTTTGGTTGCCTGCAGTCTTGTTTAAATTTAGCTATTCCCAAGCTGAATTTCCCCGATGTGATCAGGCTGGCTTCGAATTCCCCTACGTAGCTTCCATCTCTCTGAGGGTTGGGTTTCACACATGTCATCAGACAAAGGTCTGAACTAATTTGGGTGGATCCTTTGCACAAGGATGGCGTGAAGCAGCCGACAGCAGGGGCATACGCCCGGGGGATAAAAACAGTCCAGAGGCCAGCCACCCACCCTGCGACTCCTGTGAAAAGGGAATGGAGTTTTGATGGCATTACTTCCTAGAAAGTGCATGCTTTATCTGCCTTTAAAAGTCCAATGTGACAGTCTGAATCTCTCTGTGGTTCTAATTGATGCACCAGCCCAGAGACACAGCTACCCTGAATATCATTTCACCCCCCCCACCTGTATTTTGCCTTGATTGACGATTCACATTCTTGATCCGAAGCAAATAAGACTTGCGACTGGTTTTTTTTTTTAATGTGTTAACCCTGGTCTGTTTCATTTTAGCTCTGTTTATTAGCCAAATGCTTTAAACCTGCCCTCCCGTATCTAGATGTGGACATGATGGATATTTGTAAAGAAAATGGGGCCTACGATGCCAAGCACTTTCTGTGTTACTACTACTATGGTGGAATGATATACACTGGGCTCAAAAATTTTGAAAGAGCACTCTATTTTTACGAGCAGGTAACTGTTTTCCTTCCTCTTTGGTGTCGAAAAATTTCTTGAGGGCACGACAGCCCGGTTAAAAACCAGCAAAGTCTCCGAGATTCCTGCTTGGTTAGAATATATTACTGGAAGCTGTGACTCCTTGCAGCAGAGATAAAATTGTTAGATTAGATTTTTATCCCAGTTTTTACAAAATATCTGGCCAACTCAAGGCAGTGAACATACCTAATACTCCTCCTG